TGGATGGATTCCAGCGTGGCTGAAAGCAGCTTAGAAGACGCTCTGTCCTGGGTCCCACTCTCATAGCTGCTTGCCTGCTTGGTCTCAGTGACCTACTCCAGTCAGCACTTAAACACACACACCACACACACACACACACACACACACACACACACACACACACACACACACACACACACACACACACACACACACACACGATCGTATCTTTACCCACCGGCTCTGGAAGTCCGCCACCATGTCTCTGCGCTCTGAGATCTTGGAGGATCCGTCGAGGCGCATGTAGATGTGCTTACGATAGACCATGTATTCCTGGAGAAATGGGACATTATAATTAGGAAAACCAAGAACAAAATGATGTGGTATTGTCTGAGGGAGTGACGGGTGCTGGCAAACATCACACAGCTATAAATATAATTTTACAGGAGCTACCTTTTCTTTTTTTATCCTTTCTTGTGTAGCCCTGCATTTCTCTTAAATGTGCCAGAACTCGGCGTCGTACAGTCCCAGTTGAGATCCAGATACTCAAATATTAGAAAACGTTAGCTATAGCAAAGTTGTCACATGCGATCAGTGAATACCTTACTTTGAAACGACTTTAATCAAATAACTCGATCCACTCCTGCATGGTATTTATTACAAATGTATATAACTTAATATTCCTGGATCACCTTTACTACGTATTGTGAAACTCTTGTCGTCCAAACCTGAAGGAACTAATTGTCTCAAACTGTTTTTCCAAAGTTCTTAAAAGTGCACCGCTGCTTCCTCTGAGGAACAGATCAGCCCTGAAGCTGTACTTATTCAGTTTCATGGATCAAGAAATACTAATCTTTAAAGTAAAAATGTCTGTCCAAAGCAAAATTTGCGTCCAAATTTCTAAAATCCCACATTTCGAATGCATATCTGTTGGGCTTGAAACCTCAATCCGTGCCTAAGGAGACACTGTTGAAGGCCAGAATTTGATATTCTATTCCTCCCAAAAGTCAGCCAAGCTAAGAGTGTGTGTGTTTGTGTGATGGGAGGGGTTCTTGAGTGCAACAGCAGTGATGAGGTGACACGTTGATCTCTCTTTAAGCGCGGCCCTGAACCGGTGACCTCTTCACTCAAACATGTCAGCGCCCCCACAATCACTGGCACACATCAGGAGTCACCTCTCGCGACCATTAACACTGATATCAATGATTTGACACAATGTTTTCAGTGACACTCGGGGGCCTCCGTCCCGCCAGGCCCTGCCCTCCTCTTCCCCTGTGTCTGGCTCTGTTCCCATCAGCCCCATCTGCTCCCAGTGAACACTACATTAGGGACCATTAGCACGGCGCTACACATAATGCTGCTAACCTTGTTGAGTTGATGGCTTGCCAGCAGGATGTTGCAGATATTGTTGCTCTTGCAGACTTTCTCAGCCTTTCCCAATCTCAAAAATTGTCTAAATAGTCAGACAATTTCAGAAATACACCACCTCTCAGATTTAAACATAGTGTTTAACATTCTCTGCTAGCTTCAGCTGCCATGATTTAAAGCTTGTGGAGTCCCGGTGTCCCACTGAAATCTATACCTTCAACAGCTGGCACATTTTCTCCTCTATTTTTGTTTGGGTTGGTGTTAATCAGAAGTGACAAGGCTTTATTTCTGCAGTTTTTCACTGATTTTGTAATGCTTGCAAAGTTATAAATCAGTTCAACCTTTAACTGGATGAAATGTTAATCTTGTTCAAAAAACTGTCAGCAGCTTATTACAGAGCACATTTAATTAAACAGAATCTTTATGGCAGTGGTTTTTGACAACAACAACAAACTTAAAATGATGAATGCTGGGAGAGTGGCTTTTGTTTAAAAAAGCACACTGACATTTCCTCTTTCCTGGCTTATGTTAGAGTCGCAAAATGCATTTTTGAACCTTCATAGTTGGAACTTGGGTGTGCATTAAAACCTAGCCTTGAAAAAGAAAAGAGTGGCAGCCAGGTTGTTCTCAACTTCCTAAACATTAATGAGTCCCCAAAGTCTAGAAACACAGTGTGAATTTATTGCTGTTCCGAGGTTGGGAACACAGTGTGCACGGTCACAGTCTGTTCCCAGCCCGACAACTCATAAAAAAAGTATTTAAAAAGAAAAAGAACACGTAGGAGTGGCACTTTCAATACACTTTTACCAGCGAACACTGTAGATTGCCAACATTTTATAATAACAAAAGATCTTTATAAGGTATAAATTGCAATTCTAACCAGTTTGTGAAAACGTATTTAAATGCCATGACACATCCAGTACATATTCTACCATCCGAGCACTGGAAAACTATCAAAATGGGTAACATTAACCTACAATGAAATTAAAAGACTCCTAAGATTTTACACATCTGAGTTATATGTGGAAACGTTTATATTAAAACAGCATTTTTAACTCCCAATAGAGCTGCGCAAAGTCTGATCATTCTCTTAAGTGATGTCACTTGAGTCAACGTTAGTTGAGACTACAATTTAGAGGGGGGAAAAGGGGGGGGTGGTTGAGTTTGAAAGACGTGAGCCTACCTCATCTTAGCTTAGGCTGATGGCTACGTAAGCTACTACAGCCTTAACACACACAAATCTAGGAGTAAACTTTTGGCTGCCTGTTTGCATTGTGTTTTTTTTTACGATATCTCTCGTTGTGCCACATCTAATTTGATATTTTTTCTTTTACAGTGTACATCATGAGCCCGACAATGTTAGAGGGGTGCAATGTTAAAATGGTTGAGTACTCTTTAAAATGATTTAATATCAGTAAGTGGCCACATAAACATGGACCACGAAGACAATCTGCAACACTATCCATCCAGAGCCTCAAAGTTAACGTTCACAATAAAGAAAACTGCACTACCCATGATCCCTTAATCAGACTCTTCATTCATCACAAGTTAGAGTTTTTTTCTATCGTATTAACAATCCCAGTGTAGCAGAAATATTTAATACAAATAGTCGATATGTATTATAAATAATCACAATTTTCAGCCATGCTTTGTATTGCGTAATGGGTTACTGTATCCCACTTTATAAAGAAGAATCTGCGGCTAACTTTTTTGGCTGTAATACCCTCATCATTGTGGGCATTCCCGCCAGCACTGTAATCTGAAGCGCCGACTTGCAGTTCAGTAAAGAGCCGTCCAAGCAGCCAGACACACCACTCAAGCAGGAGGGCAGTGACTTGGCGGTTCTGCTCCACTATCGGCTGCTGCCAGATTCTGGCCACCCGGATCTCAATGATCCATCACCCAACTCTGTGATGTCACCAGAAGAACCGGGCAGCCAACTGGCGACGACAACAATGAGGCTGATGACAGAGATTAGCATCAGCCTCTCCTTCACTATTTCCCTTAGTCTCAGTCCCATATTCAGGAAATCAACTCCATCTGTTTTCATCCCCGACTGATGATACAGATAATACGATGTAGGAAAACTGAAGCAAGATTTGGGGAATACATCATTTCACTTGAGGATCTCTTTAGTCCATTAGTAGAGGAGATGCTGTCACAGCCTCCCATTACTGTATGAGGTCACTTAGACCGTAAAAAAGGCACTTTAACAGAGCTCTTTGGGGCAGGAAGAAGATTAACTGTATTATTCAAGCAGAACGCCACCGTCATGCTCAATTACTGATATTTGATTGGTCCATCTCACTGGCAGTCACCATGACAAAAACTCTAGGCATCATATACAAATGTGATTAAATGTTATATCTGATTGGTCTGTCACAATAACTACTAGGATGATTTGTTGTCCCAGAAAATAATAGCAAGTTGGGAAAAAATATATACAATAGTAGACAATATTTTTGTCATTTTAAGACCACTGTAGTTAATTAAATAATCCCCCCCAAAAAGTATACCCTTTAAAATATGAAAAAAAAAATTCAATACATTTTTCATTTGAAGAATATTCGAGGGTGTTGGAATTCATAGAAAAAAATCATAAATAAAACATAAAACTGATCAATGTCATGTCCATATATCGATAAGTAGATAACATAATTATCGTGATTCTACAGGTATATTCCTGTACATTTACAGTGGGGCAAAAAAGTATTTAGTCAGCCACCAATTGTGCAAGTTCTCCCACTTAAAAAGATGAGAGGCCTGTAATTTTTATCCTAGGTACACCTCAACTATGAGAGACAGAATGGGGGGAAAGAATCCAGGAAATCACATTGTAGGATTTGTAATGAATTAATTGGTAAATTCCTCGGTAAAATAAGTATTTGGCCACCTACAAACAAACAAGATTTCTGGCTCTCACAGACCTGTAACTTCTTCTTTAAGAGCCTCCTCTGTCTTCCACTTGTTAACTGTATTAATGAACTCGTTATCAGTATAAAAGACACCTGTGCACAACCTCAAACAGTCACACTCCAAACTCCACTATGGCCAAGACCAAAGAGCTGTCAAAGGACACCAGAAACAAAATTGTAGACCTGCACCAGGCTGGGAAGACTGAATCTGCAATAGGTAAGCAGCTTGGTGTGAAGAAATCAACTGTGGGAGCAATTATTAGAAAATGGAAGACACTGATAATCTCCCTCGATCTGGGGCTCCACGCAAGATCTCACCCCGTGGGGTCAAAATGATCACAAGAACGGTGAGCAAAAATCCCAGAACCACACGGGGGGATCTAGTCAATGACCTGCAGAGAGCTGGGACCAAAGTAACAAAGGCTACCATCAGTAACACACTACGCCGCCAGGGACTCAAATCCTGCAGTGCCAGACGTGTGCCCCTGCTTAAGCCAGTACCGTATTTTCCGGACTATAAGTCGCTCCTGAGTATAAGTCGCATCAGCCAATAAATGCGTCGTGAAGAGGAAAAAAACGTATATAGGTCGCACCGGACTATAAGTCGTATTTATTCAG